GCATTTTATTAATGAAGAAAAATGGAATTACAATAGCCTATTGGAAATGATTCTTATTATCTTAGTGAATATTCACAAACACGAATAGCAGTCATATTCAATCTGCTCCCCTTAATAACAATAAGGTAAAAAAACATAAGTAAATTACACTCTAGAGTGCTCTGGAACAGAACGACAACTGCAGGATTTGAACCTGCGCAGGCAAAGCCTATGTGATTTCGAGTCACACTCCTTAACCACTCGGACAAGTTGTCAACCATATTGTTGTCTGTGCTAGACACTGTTCTATCAAATAGAGTAATACTATTGGCTGCACATGTCTTCCCTTTTTGGAACACACATTATCCTGTGTGGATACACACAGATAATATAATATAATTAATAAGATAAATGCTAATGCAATATATTGTCTTGGCTTAACATGTTCTCTTCACAGTGAACATGTTAAGCCAAGACAATATATTGCATTAGCATTTATCTTATTAATTATATTATATTATCTGTGTGTATCCACACAGGATAATGTGTGTTCCAAAAAGGGAAGACATGTGCAGCCAATAGTATTACTCTATTTGATAGAACAGTGTCTAGCACGGACAAAGATCAATAGAGTGGTTTGGCCGAGTGGCCTAAGGCGGCAGGTTTAGGCCCTGTTCTCTTCGGAGGCGCGAGTTCGAATCTCGCAGCCACTATTTTGATAACTCTTCATGTAATCAATATTACCCCAAACGAGTAAAAATTCAACATAAGTAACATCCATCAATCAGCAATAATCCCTACCCACCCACATAGTACACAGGATACACCAACTATGGATCCTGTCCAACCACCAAACATCAAGCAACCTCCTGCACCAGTACCTGCCAGACCCTCTGTCTGATTATTCAGACAAGTAGAAAATAACAAGACTGAACAAAGATAATTTTTATTAAGTGAAGAGTGGTTCATTATTTATACTTTTTGTGGGTGCTTATCCTTTAGTGGCATTCTACCTTTTGGTAGTTAATGATTAGTCCATGGCATAGCTTATTGATAGATGCAACCGTATGGTTGGTGTAGATGATTTATCCTATGGTACACTGAGCTTAGAAGGTTGATTTGTAGTTACGACCAATCAGTGAGATGATACAGAGATGTACTATGGTACTTGTGTGCACTCAAGCTTTCATAGAGTATTCTGAATGCCACAGCATACTACTCATGTTGACCAATTCATGAAAAATCTTTGGATTGAAGTCGGAACACAACAGCCAGAGGGTTCTTCCACACCAATGTAATCATGTAGCAACAACAAGCTATTAGAGTTGCTAATGATGGACGATTGTCCATCATCCTCATCAGATCTACTGCCCTCATACTGAGTGTCACTCAGTCAACAAAACGCCTAATATTGACAAAGAAATAGTGGTGTGTCTAATAGCTAAGAAGATGTGTGTTATATGCTATAGTTTTTAGGGCGATCAAATTATTGGCTATAAAGACATGACCATGCTTGAGTAATCATTCATTTATTATTATTATTACTATTCTATTATCTTTTCTAGTCTTTAATGGCCCATTCTTTTTTTTTTTAGTTTTTCACTTAATTCCAAGACAAGCCAAACATATAATGGCTTTGGTGTCTATTCTTTAAACAAAATAGTATGAGATAAAGAAAACAGAGTCTGTTTTACGCTGGTAAGAGTGAGATATGGCACGGAGCTCAAATCCAGGGCGATCTTTTCTATTTGCATACACTACCTTTATATTACTATAGCCTTGTGATTTTCTTGGCCAGAGCCTTCAAACTTTCAATTAGTAAAGAAATGGATTTTATATATAAGAAACAAGGTATATCACCTTTAAAATATTCTAGAAATGAGACTGACAGTATATCCATTGTGTACTGAATTATATTCTAATATGACGACGGCATTCAGGTCTCTAACAGAGGTCTATGGAATCCCTCTAGTATACATATTATTATGCATTCAACACAAATTGTGCTCAATTGAGTCTAGATCAGGGCTATAGATAGGCCAATAGAAATCTGTCTATATAATTCTCCTGACTTAAATTTATGTACTAGTTGATTGGTATGTGCTTTGTAGCTATTTTCTTTTATGTTGTGATTATCGATATGGTTTTAGTGTAAACTAATGCAAAAATAAAGGCAAAGCATCTTCTTTGGTCTCTATTGCCTTTTAATTCGTCCATACACTCATTGATTTCATTATTAAATATGTCTTATACCATACTATTGGTACCATTATACTTCTTTTTTTCAGTTAAAGCACTATAGGATAGGTAATGTATACAATTTAATTGAAATTCAAATTTGCCATTATCTCTCATAGGTGCACATTGTGATTCACTAAACAAATATTGTGGAGTGTCAGTGATAAGGGGTCTAATGAAGATGCTCGTTCACCCATCATAACTGTATTAGTAGTAAATGGAAAGCACCATGGACATGATATAAGCCTTTCAGTAGTGACAGTCTTTCTTTTTATTGAATTTGGCCATCAAGCAAACACATAACTTGAATATTGTTTTTCAGAATACAGTTTTTTGTACTTGGACTAACAGTCTATCCCTTAATTTAATTATCGTGTAGCATGGGAATATAAACCCTCTGTATTGACTGTAGTGTATAATAATGTTATAAACAATAGCCAGGCTTTTATTTATTTATTAAAAAATGAAATAACAATCATAGACATATGTCTACTCATTGTCATATCACTGTATAGCTTGAGTTTCTTACATTATTTCTGTCATACCAGTTTGGCTGGCTGATGTTAATCCATTGTTTGCTCAAGACTGTATTGACTATAGACTTTGGTATAGCCTATCACACCTTTGATAAAGCTATAGTGTCAAACACTCTCAATCCATTCACTTTTAATACTTCTGTACTTTTATATAAAAAAATATGGATTCAGGCTATTTATTTCATTCTAAATACTATTGTATAGAACAATAGGTATCCATTGAGTTTGAATGACATTATAAGAGATAGGCAACAGAATAGTTATGTCGACTTTGTAGGCTTGCATTAATGCAGATGATTATTTCGCCGACTGTTTACTGCCGTTATGAATACAAGGTCTTTGTATCAATGATGGATCTTATCCACCGCTAGTACTCTATGAGTGATTGTTAAAAGTACTCCGACTGTATACTTGAAATCTCCTTTTAAACCAATAGCATAACACTATTTCTTTTGTCTTTTGAATCCATCTCACACAAGCACACAAAACCACTATAGTATTCTCAATATTTTTAATTTGGTATAAAACAAATTGATTCAACAGAATCAGACACACTATTACTAAAAGAAAAGCAATCAAAGAGACTGTCTTTTTTTTTCTTTTTTTACAATCAGCTGAAGTAAAAAAAATTATCGGAAGAGTAGGAGCCACAGATTTAATAGTCAGATACTCTTTTCAAAGACTATAGATAGGCGACCAGAATTCACCTTTCCTCTTTTCTTTTTCTTTTTCTTTACAAATTCCTTTGCACTCTATATGAGACTTATATAGGTTGATTGATTCAGTGACAAGGCATTAGTTTTATTATAGTCCGAAGGTTTCTAAGGTCTTGCCCCTTTTCCCAGTTCATTACTTACATTGTGGGGTGGCAAAATAATAATAATAAAATGAAAATCAATATTAACAATAATATAATAATGACACACTCATCAAAAGTGAACCTCGCATTGAGTCTATCTTTTGATGGCGTCTTGAAGCCGGTTGATTATGCGTGATCCCGATGTAGGTTGTCTAATGTGACTGAGTTGAACGGATCAAATTGAGAAGTGTGTGTGAGTAAAATCTTAAGTGCACTCGATAGTGAGCTATTTGTACTGTGTGTACTGCTTGTGAGTGACACCGACAACCAAATTCTCAAAATGTTTAACTTCTGGAATTGCATATTATTTGTCGATGGTTAACGACAATTGGCTGTATAAAGACTAGTTGCACTCAAATGACACTGGACGGCAGTCAAGTCGCTGAGAGAACTAGTCGTTGTCTTTATGCTTTTACTTTACTCATTTTATTCCTTTAACTAACATAAATATACCTCTATTTTTCACCGGTGGAGTTTTCAAGTATAAAAAAATACATTCCATACTATAATCATATACTGTATACAAACTATCTCTTCTCTTTTTCACATGTATACTTAAATAAAGTTACATATCATTAGGTATATACGTGTCACTGTTAGATTATGTTCCATCATCATCATTAAGGCGCTTTGATTGATATCTTGGTGATATACCATTAACTAGGATCAAATAGTTCTTCTGAAGTGGCCTTTCTAAACACTTTATGTCATGAAGGATCATGATAAGTCACAAATCTTGGAGTAAGACTTAATGATAACAAGCAAACGTAGCGCAACACTATCGCTAAATATCAGTAGAAAATCAATTGTTGATTCTAGCTACTATTGTTTATCACACACAGCCTATACTTTATCAAATATACCAACAATAGTATACGTTTCTAGTGTACTAAATCACGGACTTTTACTAATATAAAAATAGTCTATGTGTATATTAGCTAAAAATATATATGCAAAGCATACCAATAATTAGAATCTATATATAAACCAGAATCTGTGAATATACATAATGATTGAGTTTTAGATCATACACTGATTATATAACTTTATGTTGTAAAACCCTATTAATTCCTTACACAAATGAAGTTAGTTAGTCTGATGCTGGTTTTATTTTTATTAAATATCTCGTCATATTCCCTATCTTTTGTTTAAGCATAGCATTAGGTAGTCTCTGTTTGTCCATAACAGGTTTATTTATTAAGAATTGAAGTGAAAGAGTATAATTTTATAGATATTCATTATTCTTACTAATACTGTTGATTGAAAATACTATGTATACTATGTATACAATGTATTAGTAGTTTAATTGTAGTTTTCCCCTCAATAACATTACATAATTTCTTATTTGAATCTATATAGAAAACTCATGCATCTGTAGCAATCCCAAGAGAAAAGACACATAGATTGAACATATATAAATAATACAGAATATTTTGATTAGATTACTCATCTGTTTATTTATTATTCTCATTCTTTAACAAGTGTCTCTATTGTGTGATAAAAATATTCTGTCTATGACTAGTAGGGTGTTATTGAGAATTGAAAATCAAGATAGTTAGATTCTTTAGCTCATTTTAGTATGTCACTATAATCTCTAAATTTCTCAAAGACTCTTTTTAACATTAATACAGTTGTACTTGGAAGTTTTTTCTCTGTTATTAAAGTAATCCAAGAGCAATATAACTGTAAATATAACTGATCAAGAAACAATGTTTTTTTTTGCTTGTTATTTGATCACAAACAACCTAATTCTATTTAGTAGTCCCAGTCCGATACGGACATGTTTATAGTCCGACGTATACCTGAAGCACCCACATAAAAAACAATAAGAGTACAAGACAACATCTCATTCACTCTACTTACGCGCACAAACTATATATTGATGATATCAATGGTTGAAGCCGAAAACCTTCATCATCACCAGGAAGACGAAGCACGGAAGTACTTGCCTGTTCAGATACATGAGATTATTGTACCTTCTTATGCCGCGTGGTTTGAGTCAAACAAGATTCATGATATTGAACGACGTTTTCTTCCAGAGTTCTTTAATCAACGCAACAGATCAAAGTCCCCAAGTGTT